GAGGCTAGGGCTAGCCTACCGGAACGCAGCCCAGACCAGCCCACCCCACCCCACCCCACCCCACGCAGATCCGGGGGCACATGCCTGCTCCCATTCCCTCCTGGACTAGCGGCGAGAGCCTCAGGGGAGCCACCAGAAGAGCAGCTCCAGGACTGGTGGTGAACAGCAGTGTGCAGTGGCAGGAGCCCGCCTCCCCCTTCCGCCCACCACAACAGACTTACCAGCTGGAGGCAGCTGTGTCCAGCATCATCGAGGACTGCTGCCTGTATAGTCTACAGTCAAATCGCCAAATTGGCATTGAATCTCTCTGAATTGATTCGGAGGTTTCCAATTTGATTCAGTCCTTTTAGTGGGTCTCCCGATTCGATTCATATTTGGAGATTCAGCCGCTGAACCAGGCCGAATCTCCTCCCGGAGCTTCGCACAGCCCTACAGCATAAATCCAGTTCCTCCTGTTTTCTAGCTCTGCCATTCTTTTCACGGGCTAAAACTAGTAAGTGAATTTGAACCAAATTTGTAAAATTCATTTTCAGTTAGTTACCTTTCGTTTATCATGGGATAAGAGCACATACACAGGAAGTTACCACAAAGTAATGAGACCTCTACCCTTGTTGACCTCACATTAACTTGTTCATCTGTCCATGCCCCAAGAATAGAACTAGGCAATAACAATCTATTCTCTGCTCTGACCTTGCAGTCCCTGTCTGTAACTTCTGTAATAAAATATGCTACTTTCCTTGCTCAGATACATTATCTTTAAAAAAACCCATTACCTTATAACACAATTATGAAAATTTAAAAGCTGCTCTAGATTCTAATTTTGTGCAACAGCCATTTGAATTCATGAAAATGACTGTGAAAATACAAGTGGAAACAGTCATTTCATTTGTATAAATCAAACGGCTGGATTTTTGGAGGACAAATCCATGCACCTTGATGTTCACTATGAGCCTTCTTAGAGCCTATATCATTCACCATTGAGACAGAAACCTTAGAAAGTAGCAAAAAAAATCTGTTCAAACAATTAAAACCTAGTGGGATAAATTATGACATTTTTTGCACGGAACTTAATGTTACCCACACTGATTCTGTACTAGGCGATTCACCTCCAGGAGAGCTGCTCAATCCCTGGCTCATGGGCTAGATCCAGTGCCCCCACAGTGCCATGTCACCTGACCTGCAGGGCTTCCCAGGGACCAATGGGGATCCCTAGGGGCCCTGGCCTTGTGCGCTAGATTGGGTGCACAAGGACTAATCCTGGCATGCAGGGTCCCAGAGCCCAATGCCAGAACTTGGGCCAGTGCAGGACCCCAGGGTCCAAACTTTATGTGGAGTTGGCAGAGGCTGCATAGGGCCTCACAGCCCAATCTCGGAACTTGGGGCTGGGCAGGGACAGTGCAGGGCTTGATCCTGGTATGTAGGGCTAAGTGGAAATGGCACAGGGCTTAATTCTAGCATGTGGGGCTAGGCAGAGGTGGTGCAGGGCCACAGAACCCAATCCTGAATTGCAGTGCCAGACAGAGCCAGCATAGGGGTGGTATGGGGCCCAATTCAGGCATGCAGGTCCAGACCTGTTGCCAGCCTGTGGACCAGCCACCACCAACCTAAAGGATGGGTAAGTTGGCTAGAGAAAAGAAGGCATGGGTCACATCACTGTTTTGTTGCTGGAAGCAACAGAGCTATTCAAGTACCAGGGACATTATGTAAAAGAGAAGAAATACTAGACCAGAGGTCAGCCGCAATTTTTGGGCAGAGTGCCAAAAACACCTGCAACCTCTACTTGTAAGATGTTGGCCTGCCAGAGGAGTTGTGAGTGTCCTGATCCTTGTTGTGGCAGCACAGCCCCAGCCCCTTCCCCATCATCTGCCCCAAGGCATGAGTGCCAAGCAAAATGCCTGTGTGTGTCATGTTCTGGCACCTGTGCCAGGGGTCGCTTACTCCTGTACTAGACTATTCATGCAGGAGAGGCATTGCTCCTGAGAAAGTATTCTGAAAACCATGAACTTCTAAGGTGTCTCAAACTGGATACACTGAAACAGGGTAAGAGTGGTGGGTAGTGGTACCCAGTCAGTTTGAAAGTCTTCTGAATCTTTTGTGACTTGCACAGCAGAGAAATTTAATGAAAAGAACTGCATTTTGTTTTAAGCACATTCCAAATTCCCCTCACTGTAATATAACAGATTCATTGCTTTTTCCTGTCCACATCTCATAGTAAGAAGGCAAGTATTTTAAATTATATTAATGAAATATTTAAAATGTTGCTAAAATATTTAAGCAAGTTAATATATGCACATAGGAATGCCTTCCTTAAAACGGTAGTAAAATAGTAAGTACTGACTTGGCCCTGTCCCAGCGAGCTCCATCTAAGAATAATCCATGGATATAAACACCATCTTCTGGTGCAGTATTAGATGCATCTGTAGGAATAACCTAAAAGGAAATAACTTGTGTTACATGTTAATAAGCCACTTAAGACACCCTCTAAAGTTGTTTAAGAGCCATTAAACCAATACCCAACTCCCAATTTTCAGAACAATCCAAAGCCAGGAGGAGAATCGCATATCTTTCAGACAAACTTTATTTACAGTACTTGTAAATACAAGTACTATCCTGCTGAGGATTAAAAAGCTCCAAAGCAGCACACATGTAGATGCTTGAGGTACTGGCTAGGGCATGTGGGTACATCAGCGTGGAAGCTGCCTGCTGGGTAGCCCTGCACTGAAGCAGCCTCACGCCCCAGTCGGCCCCTCTGTAGCACGTTGAGGTGGAGGGAACAATGCTAGCAGGTTGAAACCTTGGTCCCCTGCCAGCCAGGGCCACTCTGACTTGGTTCAATATGCTGCTGCCCCAGGTGCATGTGCAGATGTGTGCTTAGCAGCAATAAGCTCCAGAGCTTATTGCTGCACATTAATAGCACATGTAGATGCACCCTTCCTTGTACTTAAGAAACTCCATTTTTAAGTGATTTGCTTGTGTAATAAGATGGTTCTATGTAACCATGAGAATCCTCTTAATGGGTTTCCTTTAGAGGTACAAGGTTGAGAAAACATCACATACTAATATAGTGGGCTCGCAGACTCTACCACTACACTACTGATTAAGGTCCTGATGGATTATGTGCAAGTAATGTTTCCAGTAACAGACAGGACTCCTCCACTTAATGCATCACACAGCAATACTGGGGCCCAAATCAGAGCATGTTTACAACTTAGCCATACCTGAAATTCATATCCCAGGAGATCAATGGGGATGGTGTACTTCCTGGCATAGTTCTGCATTGCTCCAGTTAAAAAGGCTTGAGTAAAATAGAATCCTGACAGCCAAAAAACAGTGGGCTTCCCTAATTCATACCAATCCTGTGAAAAGGAAAATGAAGATGGTTCAAACACCTTTGCTATTCAGAACCAGACGGTTTTCTTTATAAAATTATCATGACTCATAATTCTTAGTCATATTCCACAAAACTATCTTAAGAAAAGTTACATATAAAACAGTAAATGTTTTACTAATTCTCCAAATACACACTCATTTTAAATCAAATAGTAATTAGATCATTAGTAATTCTCTTGTTTTACCTGTAAGAATTTCAGCCTAGCTAGAAAATCCAGGATATAACTCCCCAACGGTTTAAGACTTGGGTATGAACGCTGAGCCCAGTTTTCTGGAACTTTTCCAATAAGCAGACTACCACACAGGGCCTCCAGCTCTGAATCCATAACCACCAAACCTTTAATAGCCTTTTTCAGATTTATTAAAGTAATACGTATAGTCCGGATTAAACTAGAAATAAACAATAAAACAGCAGAAGTGTCAAATGTAATACAACTGGTTTGACATCATGGCACATCTTTGGTAAGGCATCTCATCAATTCATCAGCTAAAGAAGCATTACGTTATTGTAAGGTTATGAATTAAGTATATAATGAGCTGTTTCTCCTAAACAGGGATCAAGGTTTTCCATCTCCCACAGGAAAATAGAGAAAAATGCTGGTTTTCCCTTTATCAGAGAAAAACACAAATTTCTCATTTTAATGAAAAAGCACATGTCTTTTGCGTGTTTGCAAAGATCTCTCTGCAGGCTGGCAGAGTACCAGCCTGCAAGGAACTGGGGGGAGTGGGAGGAGGGCGGTCAGGCAGGGGGTGCGATGTGCATGCACATACACATGATTGCCAGGTAGTTTGGAGAGCAGCTCCTGCAAGTGAGTCTGGTAGGGTGGGAGGGGGGATTAAGGTCCCAGGAAGTGAGTTGGGCAGGGCTGGGGCTGCTGCCCAGCCTGGGTAGTGCATGGGGCCTGGGGCCAGAATGTGCAGCCACAGGGCCCAGGCAGGGAGTGGGACAGAACCACAGGTGGTTTGTCCAAGGGTGGGGGGGAAGGGCTGGCTCCCTGCTGCTACACACACTCCAGGGGAGCACAAAGGGCACGTGCTCCCCAGATATGTGCAGAGGACAGGGGCAGGCTTCCCACTGCAGGCTCATGCTCCCTGCCCTGCTGCCCTCCCCCTGGGGCCTCTGTGGCCCAGCAGGTGGGAACCAGTGTGGCAGGGCATAGTGGGGCTGGGCGGGAAGCACCTTGCTGCCACTGCACTGCTATGGGGAGGCATCACCTGCCTGTCCGGCAGCAACACTGAGTCATGCCCCTCGCTGCTGTCGGGCAGACAGGGGGTGCCTCACCATGGTGGCGCAGAGCTCCCAGCTATGGCACCAAGCTTCCCTGCCCAGCCCTGCTCTGCCTTGGTGCGCCATATCCTACCTGCTGGGCCATGGAGGCCCCAGGGGGATGGCAGCGGAGGCTGCCTGTGGGGGTTTTGAGAACACCGAAAAA